TGAGTGGTACATAGCTAAGAGCACACATTACAATGGTCTGAGTGGTACATAGCTAAGAGCACACGTTACAATGGTCTGAGTGGTACATAGCTAAGAGCACACGTTACAATGGTCTGAGTGGTACATAGCTAAGAGCACACGTTACAATGGTCTGAGTGGTACATAGCTAAGAGCACACATTATAATGGTTTGAGTGGTACATAGCTAAGAGCACACATTATAATGGTCTGAGTGGTACATAGCTAAGAGCACACATAATGTTTTGAGTGGTACATAGCTAAGAGCACACATTATAATGGTTTGAGTGGTACATAGCTAAGAGCACACATTATAATGGTTTGAGTTACTGGTTTTCTGTTGTTTTTCTTTTTTGATTTTTGTTTAGATTATATTATACTACTTAAAGGAAATTTGTTTTAACGTAAATTACTTTCAGATATTCTCTTAAATAAAGAAGCTTTTGTAAACAATACATGTATAAAAATTGTGTTTGGCGTTACCCACATACTTCCTCAAGAGTTGTTTTTTTAAATTTATTTAACCCACATACTTCCTCATCAAGAGTTGTTGTTTTTAAATTTATTTAACCCACATACTTCCTCATCAAGAGTTGTTGTTTTTAATTTATTTAACCCACATACTTCCTCATCAAGAGTTGTTTTTTAATTTATTTAACCCACATACTTCCTCATCAAGAGTTTTTTTTAATTTAGTCATTCTAGCATAAAATTTCTGTGGTATCAGGTTTTGTTTTTTGAGAGTGAATATGGGATATAAAGGCATTATTATAAGGTCCAGATTTGGATCTTCCTGAGGGGAGGTTATTAGCTTATAATGTGTTAAAAATATATTGATGTAATGTTCATTTTCTTTTTTCCAAAGTTATTGGGGAAATTTAATTTTTTTTGTCTAAAAATGAGGATCAACCCTAGTAGTAGCTTAATGCAACAAATATCTGAGAAAAACACTAATTTTGTTAAAAAAATCAAAGTGATTTTAAGGCATAAGAAAACCAAAACTTGTTAAGTTCATTAGCAAATCGATGTGTTTGAA